CACTTCCTTCATGTGTGGATTCAATCTCCGCTGCCCATCAATGCTTGGTTTAAATTTTTCCTCCATAAGTATCTTATGCATGCATATAGATGGGCTGATCTCCTTCATATCTGTAATCGACCATCCAATAGCTATTTTATTCTCCCTTAACACCCGAAGTAGTTTCTCTTCCTCTACCTCACTGACAGTGCTTGAAATAATAACAGGTAGTGTAGAAGATTTCCCCAGGTACGCATATCGAAGATGTGGTGGAAGTTGTTTAAGTTCCAATTTGGGCGGTTTCACAATGGATGGCACTGATTTTGCAGTCCTAGTTCCCAACTCTTCATAGTAGCGTCTGCGCATATATGGCTGGTTACTTTCCAAAAACCGAGCACATGTCTCAATCTCACTTGATTCAGAATGGGTGGATTGTGAATGTGCAATGCATGCCTCATATGCATCGGAAAGATGATGTAGCCGAAATGTGTCTTGAACTATTCGGTCGACTACATCTATTTGGAAACAATTGTCTGACTCAGTAGGGAATTTCATTGCTTTGAACACGTTGAATGAGATTTGCTCGTCACCAAGCCTCAATATCAGCTGTCCCTTCTGAACATCTACAATCGCTCTCCCAGTGGCTAAGAAAGGTCGCCCCAAAATGAGTGGAACATCCTTATCTTCTTCCATGTCCAAGATAAGAAAATCAGCTGGAAATATGAACTTCTCCACTTTTACCAGCACGTCTTCAATGATTCCTCTTGAGTGTGTAAGGGATCGATCTGCTAACTGCAATGTCACTGTTGTGGCTTTTGCTTCTCCCAGGCCGAGTTTCCTGAAAACAAAAAGAGACATTAAATTAATACTTGCACCCAAATCACACAAAGCTTTATCAAAATAATAGTATCCAATAGTGCAGGGTACAGTAAAACTCCCTGGATCTTTCAGTTTTGGGGATAGCTTCCTCTGGATTCTGGCGCTGCATTCCTCAGTCAACATTACTGTTTCGTGTTCTTCTATCTTTCGCTTGTTGGAGAGGATATCCTTCAAGAATTTAGCATAGCTCGGCATCTGGACAAGTGCTTCAGCAAATGGGATGTTGATATGCAGTTTCTTGAAGACTTAAAGGAACTTACTATATTGCTGATCTATTTTATGCTTTCTCAACCTTTGTGGAAACGGAATAGGAGGCTCATGAGGGTTAACAGGATTAGTATTTTTAGCCTGTGATGTCTTGGAATTCCTCTTAACCTCATCTCCTGTTGCATTGTCAGTTTGCTCCACAATTTCTTCCTCCAAGGTTGGCGTTGATTCCGTGTTGGCTCCCGAACTTTTTACATGTGGTTCCGGCAGTTGTACTCCACTTCTGATTGTTATAGCCTTTGCATGTTTCTTAGGGTTAATTTCAGTATTGCTGGGTAGGTTTCCCGGTGTTCTACCCGTCATGGAAATTGCTATCTGTCCCACTTGTGTCTCCAAGTTCTTGATCGCTGCACTTTGTTCTTGAAGCGTTGTTTCCGTCCTTCGCATAAATTGGTTATTGGCTTCCATGTACTGATTGGTGTCTGCCATGAATTTCTCGAACATATCCTCCAAATGTGGCTTTTTGTCTTGCTGCTGATATTGCCCTTGTGGTCTATTTTGATTCTGGTTGCTCTAAGAGAAATTTGGGTGTTTTCTCCAGCCTTGATTGAAGGTTTCTGAATGTGGGTTATTCTGCTGGTGCTGACCCCATTGTGCGAATTCTGCATGTTCTATTCCTTGTGCTAGAATTGGGTAAGTAGCAGTACTGTGATCTGCTCCACATTCTTCACAACTCTGCTTCATAACTTGCTTAGCAGTGACGGTTTGTGAAATGCTTTCAACCTTACGGAATAAGGAATCTATTTTCGCCGACAGTGCTGAGTAAGTATCTACTTCATACACCCCAGGTGCTCTCTTCTGAACTACTCGATCTGTAGACCACATAGCTGAAGTTGTAGCCATCCTCTCAAACAGCTCCCAGGCTCCGTCAATTGTTCTTGTAGAGATAGACCCGTCAGATGATGCATCCACCATACTCTTGAATGATGGGAGTAATCCAGTGTAGAAAAATCTGATCTGGGTCTTCTTGTCAAAGCCATGTTGCGGGCACTTCCTTAACATGTTCTTGAAACGGTTCCATGCCTCTTCAAATGATTCTGACTCGATCTGGTTGAATATTGAGATGTCATGCCACATTTTAGCTACTTTAGCTGGCGAGACGAACTTGGTGCAGAATTTATAAGCTAGCTCGTTCCAAGTAGTGATGCTTCCGACAGGGAGTGAATCCAGCCATTCAAGTGCTTTATCCCTCAAGGTGTGCAGGAACAAGCGCAGTCTTATAGCATCATCGGAGATACCTTGGTATTTGAAGTGTTGGTATCTGAAGTGTTGACACATATCAAGAAATCGAGGTATGTGTGTATGCGGATTCTCACTAGCCATCCCATGATATTGATGCCCATTCTGAAATAGTTGAATCACGTTTGTCTTCAGTTGGAAGTTCGGTTGCCCAAATGGAGGATATACAATACTAGATTGACTTTGCACCACCAATGGTGCCATGAAATCCCCAAGTACCGTATTTCCATCCTCTTCCACTGCCACACCTTCGTTGAGTGGAATTCCCGGTCGATTTTGCTCGTTAGCCATTTGTTGTACCACTCTTACTTCCCTTTGCCTGTGGCGGAATGTGCGTTCGATCTCTGGATCTATAGGGACCAAGTCTTGATCAGGTGCTCCTTGCATACAAGCCCTGATATGGCAGAAGTAATACAAAAATTCAATATAAGCAATAATAAAATAAATCTAATAAAATTAACAAGTACTAACTAAATAAGTTCGAATTAGTGTCACAAAAGATAGAATTAAAACTAAAATTCAATCCCCGGCAATGGCGCCAAAAACTTGTTCGCGTATTTATTTGTTTCAATTTTAAAACCCACCGCAAGTGTACGGTTCGTTAACAAGTAGTAACATGGACTATGAGTCCAAGTATCGTTCCCATGAGGATTGAATTAGCTCTAATTAGACTAATGTGACCTTAACCGAATCTAATTGAATGAAAATTTGGTTTAAATGTGAAAAGCCCTAATTTTGGAAAAAACCCCCAATTAAAAACCCTAATTTTGAAGAAAACCCTAATTTCGAAATTGGAAACCCTAATTTCGAAATTCCACTAATTAAATGACTTAACAACTCAATTAAAATGTAAATATGCAATGTTGTAAATGAAATTGTAGAAATAAGTTGAAATAAAATCATTGGGATATCGAATCCCCATTTGATTGCTATAAACCCTAATTTCACAAATCCAATTAATCAATGGAAAATTGTCAATTCAATGTTCCTACGCCTATCTAATATACTCTCTCGATATATATTAGATCTATTTCTGCATATCATCAGCCTATATTTCTATGGATGATGTAACATACAAAAACGCATGAAATTCTATGAACAATTACCGAATTGCATAAAGCATAGGGGTATATTTCTATTCCATATCGGACCCTATGTCAATTTATATATATCGAGTCTATTCTACTTCTTTCGAATGTAAAGAATAAACCATCACAATCACATAATAAATGGCCAATCAATCATGGATTCAATAAAAAACAATATAAATCAAACAATTTATTCCAAAGACAATTTATATTAAACTCATGAACTATAAGAATTTATAAGAAAATCAAAGGTTCATCGACTCCCAATGAAATAAAAATTTAGCCTATCATATTTTGAAGAAAATTACAAAGATTCAATAAAGGAGAAGACATCACCCTATTATAATTGATGCTTGAAATCTTCAATCTTGATGAAATCCTCCTTCTTCTTGCATAAATTCTTGGATCTTGATGTTATTGTGTGCCTATTTTCTCCCAAAATCGTCTACCCTAGTTTTGGACGTGTTTTAGGGTATATATAGCGTGTCCAAATTAGGTAAAAAAAGAGTTAGCGTCGAAAAAGGAAACTGCAAAAAACCCCCCGAAATTTCTTCTATGCGACCGCATAGAAGGATCCTATGCGGTCGCATAGATCATTTGAAATGCCCCATTATTTTCCCTGCATCGCATAGATGGTTATACTATGCGGTCGCATAGATATAACCAACTATGTGGTTTTTACATTTTGGTCCCTGAACTTCCTTGTTGCTTCTCTTGACTTTTTTCTTCGATTTCTTCATCTTTTCAACAAATTTTATCTTCCAATTGATGGTTGACACCATCAAATCTCATGCCACTCATTCGGCACATCTTTTGAGTATTTGCGCTTTAGTCCTCCAACTTTCAATTGTCTTCATTTCAGTCCCTCTTCAATACTTTCTTCTTCCAATTGTTTTGCTTTGTCATTGAGCTCATACTTGACATGTTTTTACTCTCTTTTTGCATTTAGCTCAACTTCTCAATATTTGCACCTTTGGTCCTCAAACTATCATTTTGTTGCGTTTTGGTCCTTCTTCGGCTCTTTTCTCCTGAATTCCACAATTTCCATTGAAATACCTACATTGCATGAATTTAATAGGATTAAGCCACATTTCAACCATTTTATCCATGTTTAAGTCATGTTTGTGAACCAAATAAGTGTGTAAAAACATACTTATCAGTAGCAAAAGGGAAAGGACATAAAAATTTTAAGGTCCGAATTTTCTGACCTATATGCTAGAAAGTGAACCTCAAAACTATCAAGAGGCTGTGACCTCCTTGGAAGGACCTCAATGGAAAGAGGCCATTAAAAGTGAAATAAATTCTTTCCTGCAAAATCATACATAGGATCTTCCACCAGGAAGTAAACCACTAGGCTATAAGTGGATTTTCAAACGAAAAATGAAAGCAGATGGAACTATTGAAAAGTATAAGGCCAGGCTGGTAATAAAAGGTTACCGACAACGGGAAGGCCTTGATTACTTTGATACATATTCTCCAGTAACGAGAATAACATTCATTAGAATGATACTTGCGATTGCTACTTTGCGAAATCTTGAAGTACATCAAATGGATGTTAAGACTGCCTTCTTGAACGGAGACTTAGATAAAGAAATCTATATGGAACAACCCGAGGGGTTTTCATCTCCAGGGCAGGAAAAGAAAGTGTGTAAATTGGTGAAGTCATTGTATGGCTTGAGACAAGCACCAAAACAATGGCATGAGAAATTTAACAGTGTCATGATGGAGAGTGGATTTAAGATCAATGAGTGTGACAAATGTGTTTACGTCAAAGACACTAAAGATGGATATGTCATCTTATGTCTTTACGTTGACGAGATGCTTATTGTTGGCAGTGACAATAAGATGATTGAATCCGCTAAAAATATGTTAAACTCGAGGTTTGACATGAAAGATATGGGTTTAGCTGATGTTATACTTGGAGTGAAAATCTCAAGAACATCAAATGAGCTTGTTCTAAATCAGTCACATTATGTGGACAAAATTTTAGGAAAATTCCATAAGGATGATACTGGTTTGGCTAGAACATTAATAGATACTAGTCAATATCTGTCTAAAAACAGAGGAGAAAGTATCTCTCAAGTAGAATACTCGAGAGTTATCGGAAGTCTAATGTACTTAATGAGCTGTACTAGACCAGACATAGCCTACACAGTCAGTAAATTGAGTAGATACACGAGGAATCCAGGAGCTGATCACTTGAAAGGAATAGTAAGAGTACTAAGGTACTTAACATATACTCGTAATTTTGGACTGCACTATAGCAGATATCCAGCGGTCATTGAAGGATATAGTGATGCTAATTGGATATCCGACATAAAAGACTCAAAGTCCAAGAGTGGATTTGTGTTCACTTTGGCAGGTGCAGCTATATCATGGAAATCTTCTAAACAAACAGTGATAGCCAGATCCACTATGGAATCTGAGTTTATAGCTCTAGAAAAAAGTGGTGAAGAGGCTGAGTGGCTACGCAACTTGTTAGAGGATATTCTAAGATGGTCAAAGCCTGTGCCAACAATTTGCATATATTGTGATAGTCAGTTGGCAATTGGAAGGGCACAGAACAACATGTATAATGGTAAGTCTAGACATATACGTTGTAGGCATAATACCATTAAGCAACTACTCTTAACTGGAGTTATCACTATTGATTATGTAAAATCAAAGGATAACATTACGGATCCGCTAACCAAAGGGTTAAATAGAGAGTTAGTTGAGAAATCATTGAGAGGAATGAGACTTAAGCCCTTGAATGTATAAGTTAATACAAAGGAAAACCCAACCCAGTTGACTGGAGATCCCAAGATCTTAGTTCAAAGGGACAACCTAATTGTAAAGACTTGATAGAATCACTGTGGGGGATATTACCTCCTGTCCATTCCTGTGATGCGACAGTGATGCTCGTAAAGATGGAGGATAAGCAATAGGCTTTTAATGATTCTTATGCGTCGAAAATCGAGCTAAGTAATGCGGGTTACTTGTAATAAGAAATCACCTATGTGAGAAGAAGTGGGGCCGCTTCTAAGGGAATTGTGTGGGGCGCAATTCTTGTGAACTCTCACAGAACCAGGCGTATGTTCATGGCCAAAACGAACATAATAATGAGAACTGAAATGTGTTAGGAAGAATCCTGTGTGAAGTGTATCATCGTTTACATAAACTGTAGAACAGTTCAAGGACATCGCGTCTACTGGTTAGCCAGTGAAATAAATATGTTTTCACAAGCGAAGGTTCAAAGGGTAACACCTACCTATCGTATGCAGGTTTCAAATGTTGAACTATATCACCAAGTCGTCATGTGTCACATTCATAAGTCGTCATGTGTCACATGCATGGGTCGCTCTCAATTTTCATTCATGTGGGGGATTGTTCGAAAAATTGGCCGACTTTGGCACGAGTTTTGAGTGGGACTCGATTGTTCAATTTGGAAGATGAAAGTTGATTTGTATTCTCCTCAGTGAGTACATCGAAATCATACACTTACTTGCCAAAGTTGATGCTCGGGTGAATGAGAAATTGAGGCTCAAAGTGTGCCACTCAAAAGGGAGTTTATGTGGGAAAAATGAATTTGTCCCACATAGGAAAAAGATGAGGAACTCCAAAAGTCATTGCCATTAATGGTAGCCTAGCCTATAAATAATGGCTCATTTTCCTCATTTCAACACACAAAAAAAAAAAAAAGCAAAAACTTTCAAGTTTAAAATACACTAGAAATTCATTTGCATAGAGTTCTCTCTGGATGGTGGTGTAGTTCAGGCACTAGTTCAGTTCGCTGAAGTGGTTTTTGCGGTGCTCGGAAGCTACTGGTTTTACCGTTGTATCCTGAAAAACGGACGCTCGTTTTAAACCTCAAGCACGGACGGTGAGGGGGCGAGTCTGTTTTAAGGAAACTGTGTGTAACACAGGTCTCGGGTTAAAATTCTATGTTTCAGTTGTTTAATTCATGCAATTTTTCGTATTAAATTTACAGTCCATGCTTCATAAATTTATGAGTTCGTATGCTTCATGAATTTTAAATTCTATTGGAACAAAAGTTATTTGTTGGAAATAAAACTTTCAATGATCTGGTGAAAATTCGATATACTATTGTTTGAATTTTGTTGACTTGCATAGTTGCAAAATTGAAAGATTTTGTCAAAAAGACCTAAACTGTCTAAGAAGAGCTTGGGATTTAAGTGGTCCGGTTGTGACCCCCCTCCTCATCTGGGAGTCTTTTAATTGCGCATTATTCAAATTGATGAGATGAAAGACAACTTTCCTGATTTTATCCACATACACTGAATTTCCTACAAAAATTGCCTTCTGCAGTGAAAGATCAATTAAACTCTCCTCTCCAATTGCAAAACCGCTTAAAATACGTTTCAAGGTATAAACTTATCTGCTACTAATTCTCATGTTCTGAATCTTGAATATATCCGACGTTCTCTTAGAAAATGAAAGCTAACTGGTTTCAAAACCTTTCAGGTTATAGTCCCCCTCGAGAAAATAAAGAGAGCCAATGAAAGTGAAAATGCTAAAAAACCAAGGCAAAAGTACGTGTAGATAGTCACCGAGGACAAGTTCGAGTTCTGGTTTATGGGATTTCTAAATCATCAAAAAGCATTCAAGTATCTGAAGCAGGCAATCGTTCAAACTCCATCAGTAACAGCTGTTGATGCACGGATGATCTCTCCATAGAACCTAAACATACAGTCACAGCATATCTGTAAAATTTTGTAACTATTGTAAAATTTATTGTAAATACATTGTACAATTTTGAAATTAAAATGTTATTCAAAGACTCGTAGTAATGCGAAAAAGAAGAAAATTACAAGCAATTTAATTTTATTTGCAATTGTGTGTGTAAGTTTTGTCCATCTTTCAAAATTAAATTTAATATGTGATATGCACTACATTATTAACTAAATTATTTACTCAAGGATAAATTGTTCATGTAATGTCCTTGATTTATCACCCTTTGTACTAATTTTGATTCCAACTTTTAAAGCATTTTTACCCTCATTTTTTCCTTTTCAATTGCAATCTCTAGTCATCATTTCCTTCCAATATTTCATTAGAAATTCATGAAAACACAAATTTGACCTCGAATTTAACTATACAAAAATAAAATCAAAAGAAGAAAACAAAAAAACAAATGCTTTGCTCAGAGGATTGTAACATTTCTTTCTTGATCAACCATTAGGTGAGTAGGGTTGTGGTGTTGTTATTTAGGGCTTTACCAAGAATGACAGAATCTCGATGGTTTTACTTACGGCTACTATTTGATTCTTCTATATTATCATTTGTGATTGTTTTTATGGGACGAACGACCTTCATGACTATTTTAAGGGATGTACAACTTTGTGCTTACCGAGAAGAAGGGTATTCTTCAACGAAAAAAATTATACATTGATATACAGGAACCCAACTATATGAGTTGAGTATCTTGTGTTGTGTTTGACTTTTTTCTTAACCTGATTCCATACTATGTTACAACGTTTTAGTGTGTGCTTTAACCCATAATACACAACCTCGTAGCTTGAGGTGAGCTCACTGATTTGAACCTTTTTTTTTCCTAAACATGTTCTCATGCCATGTAAAGTTTCTGAAATAAAACTATTTGCATAGATGAATTGTACAATAGTATATAGGGATTAAGATGACAACACCTCTTTGGATGTTTTAACTTTGTTTTTTGGCCAATTTTCAATGGAACGTTGGCATTTGACATTTTGTAAATCCATTTGGCAAATGTATGTACATGTTGTTGAAGTTTATGTCCATGATTGACTATTTTTAAATATAGCCCCCGTTTGGCCCCCATTTTGTATAAATGAAAATGGGTGACATAGTTTTTTTTTTTTTTTTGAAAAATGAGTGGTTGAAAATAGGGCTGTAAGCAAAAATCGCAAAATCGGAAAATCGAACCGAAATCGCATTTTAGAAATCGTCGATTTAGTGCCACGTGGATCTGGTCAATGAAATGGTTTTGAACCAAACTAAACCGATCAAAATGGTTTGGTTTATGTTTGAGAATTTTGATTGTGGTTTAAAACCAAACCGGTGCGGCAAAAAATACATAAAATGATTTTTTTTGAAAATTCATTCAAATATGTAAAATTCAATAATTCTATCATTTGTGAGTATTTTTGTCAATTTTTAATTTTCTAATACATATATATTATTATTATCTAATAGTCCTAATTTATATCTAATAATTTCAAAATTAACATAATCTATTGAAAGCTCTTTTCTTCTTCAGAATTCAGATGAACTCTAGTCGACACCCGACACAGTCGTGAGCTACAGGCACCACACACACTTCTTCAGATTTTTTACGCCTCTTCAAAGTTGAATTATAGTTCATTACACCAAATCGGAGACAAATAGATCCTAGGCCTTCGGTGATAATATTTGATACGATTAAAGTTTCAAATCAATAATTTTTTTGAGCAAATTGAGGTAAGAATCTGAAATTAAATGCGTTTCGTAACAACATACAAACATACGCTTGTGCAACTATTATGTTTAAATATTATAAATAACTGCTTTATTATTGTGGTTGGTTATTCTCTTTGTCTAATCAGTAACCCTTTTTCAAATATAATGATCACGATATCTTGTTGGATATCATTATATTTTTTGGGTCTTATATCTCGTTTAGTCGATGTTCATAAAATAATTTTTTCGGTTTAAAATTACCGCAAGTGTACGGATCGTAACAAGTAATAAAGTGGATTTTTAAAAGTCCGAATATCGTCCCCCATAGATTGAGTAGTTCAATTCTATATAATCTAGCCTTAACCGAATCTACTTGAGTGAAAGTATGATCTAAATACAAAAAGCCCTAATTTCAACTAAAAACTCTAATTTCTATTGAAAACCCTAATTTCTCAATTAGAAACCCTAATTTCTAAATTTCTCTAATTAGACGACTCAAACACTCAAGTAAATGAAATTATGCAAATTCAAAAGCTAATTTATGAAACTGAATCAAACTAAAGTCACTAGAATCACAAATCCCCAATTGAAGTTATGAAAACCCTAATTTCATAAAATTAATGACTCGATGGAAATTTGTCAATTCAATGTTCCTAATTCTATCCAATATATTCTCTCGATATATATTAGACCTATTCTTGCATACCACCAGCCTATATCTCTATGGATGATGCAAATATACAAGAATGCATGTGGTTTTGTGAACAATTAAAGAATTGCATAAAGCATAGGGGTATATCTCTATCCCCTATCGGACCCTATGTTAATTCACACCTTATCGAATCTATTCCTCTTCTCTCGAATGTAAGAAATAAGTCATTAATACTCACACAATCATTGGCCACTAATTGCAGAAGAAAATCAGTGCATATAAACCAATCACATTATCCAAACGAGTCTTTATATTAAATTCATGAAATATGGAATTAAAATAACAAACAATGGTTCATCGATCACCTAATGAATTGAAAACCTAGCCTAGAATATTCATAAATACAGAAAAATGAAATTAATAAATAGAAAGAATAGCACCCGTATGAAAATTTCTTGAAATCTTGAATAAACCCTTGAAAACCCGCTTGAATTCTTGTGGAATCGGCTTCAAGATCGTGTTTCTTGCCTCCAAAAGTTATATTTTTCTTCTCCCTGGACGTTCTGCCCTATCTCTGATGAATTTTGGCTTTTATATCATGTCTTTACGGAGCCCCGAAAGAGTTTCAATAAAAAACGAAAGTTCAGAATTTTCTTCGAATTTTAAAGCCATGCGACCGCATGGTTCAAGTGATCTGCCTCAATAATATCCCTGCCTCCTCATGTGCGGCCGCATGGTATAGTTACATGCGGCCGCAAGGTTGTAACTTTACAACCTTACTATTTTGGTCCCTGAACTCCGTTTTCTCTTTTCTTGATCTCTTTTCTTTCTTTCCTTTGTTCCATTATCAAATATTGACTCCTAATTGATGTTTGGGTTAATCAATTCCTTGATTACTTGCTTGGCTCATCTTTTGATTAATTGCAATTTAGTCCTTCATCTTTCACTTTTCTTCAATTCAGTCCAATGTTACTTCTTTCTTCCTCCGATCGTCTTGTATCGTCCTCAATCTCATACTTGGCATATTTTCATTCTTGTTCTGCACCTTAACTCAACTTCCCAATATTTGCACCTTTGGTCTCCGAACTATCGCTTTGTTCCGTTTTGGTCCTTTTTTGGCTCTTTTCTTCTGAATTCCATCTTTTCCATAGAAACACCTACATTGTATGAATTTAATGAGATTTAGTCACAATTCAACTACTTTGTTCATGTTTAAGTCATGTTTGTGAGCTAAATAAGTATGTTAAAACACACTTATCAGTAGACTTGTATTGTAACATTATCATAACGTCATTAGCCTAAAAAAGGTGAACAAAAATGAAAAAAAAAAAATGTTATAGTTTATTGTTTTTCACTTTGATTTAGTAGATATATTTAGCCCCTGTTCGAGCCATATTTTTCATGTTATCATAATGAGAAAATGGACAGTTGGAGAGGAGGCTGAGTCCCACGTATGAAACAACAGGTCAACAAATGCGGTTGGACTTGTGGGATAATGGTCCAAATTTTTATTTTTTTTGTCTCAAAAATTTGGTTCAAACAAGGGCTTAAATTTTTTTAGATTTATTCCTAGTAAGATATAAATATATATTAAATTAAATGAATAAATGTCATAAAAGTAGATAGATAAAAAAAATATACGACGAAACTTGTGGTTTAAAACCGGATCAAACCATTAGGTTTAGGTTTGATTTTTTTTTTTTCAAATCGTTCAAAATGGTTTAGTTTAGGTTTGGATTATTCTCAAACCAGTTTAAACGGTTTGGTTTGAAAATTTGTCAAAATTCGAAAAAATCGAACCGCTTACACTCCTAGTTGGAAAGAAAACTTTTTGGTTTACGTGTAATATTATTTTATAGAAGATTGTGTCGTTAAAAATAGGAGAAAGAAAAATGAAATGTAATAGAATGAAAATTAATGAGGACCAAACGGGGGCTAAATTTTGGTTGTTAGGATCTAAGATTCCAAATGCAATAAATTATTGAAAACCACTCTAAATAATGAAAACTCAAAACTTGATTCCATCTAACAAAAAATGTGGCATGAATGATGTGGCATGATGCAGAGAGCGGCTGCCCCCCACTATGAAAATAGCCAACTATAAAATCATTTCTTTACACATTCAACAATAATCAATTAAAGAAAAGATATGCCTTAGATCACAACTGCTCTTATCCATAAAGATTTTGAGGTTGGAAGTGTCACAAAGCAAACATTCCACCTCAGAAAGTATTCATTACACATGTACAATAAAGAAAACAAATATTTTGTGTTAGGATAGGATTCAATAACTAAACTGCTGACCACACACCTCTCTCTACCTGGGGACAGAGAGAAAAGCACATGCCAAATCTTTATGTCATTAAGCCCCACATCATTTGGATGATACAAAGTTGACTCCTACGGTTAAAAGTTGAGATCAAACCACTACTTTTTCCTCCAATATAAAGGGTCAAGAATCATTGGTTGGATCACAGCAAGCTTCTTGTACTGAGATCTTAAGTGTTTGTGAACATTCTGAAGCATTCCTTTCATTGCTTACAACCAAAGAAAGGTGGTATAGATGGAACTACAGAGCGGAAAATCGAAATTTACCAAGAAATTACACCCAAAATATGCTATTGGTATTCCAATCAACTCAGGAGCATACACCATGGACAGATCTTTAGGGCTTTTATGTGATCCTGCTAGCCAATATAGTGTTACCCCTTCTCCTTCCAATGATTACTTCAAAATCAGACATCGTAAGTATTTTATATTTTGTGCCACTATAAACTCAATAAGAATTAACAGTTTCACTAATCATAAGACTAAATTCCAGGTTTTCTTGGAAATGCAGGTAAAGCAGATTCAGTAATTCCTAGGATGGATAAACTAGGAGAATGGATGGAAAATTTTACACAGGGAATCCGTGAGCACGGTAAAGCAATGACCTAGCTTATTTTATAGTAATAGTTGTCACTGGAATGTTGGAGGATGTTTGATACACTCGACTATATAGGATGTTTAATCCAGTGCACCAGAAGTAATATCAATGTTTTCCTGAAACAAAAATCTCATACATCCTATTAGTTTCCCTTCTCATACTTCACCAAAATATACTAAAAATTCTTGTTTTAGGCCTAATTTTCTACTTTATTTTTATCCCTGCAGTGAAACTAGGAACCAAATTATCCGAAACTTTAAAAGGGAAATTGAGGCTAGGGGCAAGAATCCTTCAGGTAGGCGGTGTGGAAAAGGTTTTCAAGCAGAACTTCAATGTTTCCAATGGTGAAAAGCTGTTAAAGGCTTCTCAATGCTATTTATCGACGACAGCTGGGCCGATAGCAGGCCTCCTGTTTATTTCCACTGATAAAGTTGCCTTCTGCAGTGAGAGGTCGATTAAACTCTCTTCGCCATCCGCAAAATTGCTTAAAATACATTACAAGGTACATATCTGCCTCTAGTTTCAATTTTATCTCCCAATTTCTCTTAGAAAGTTATCTTTTTTTAACTGGTTTCAAAACCTTGCAGGTCAAAATCCCTCTAGGCAAAATAAAGAAAGCCAATGAAAGTGAAAATGCAAAGAAACCGAAGCAAAAGTATGTGCAAATAGTTACCGAGGACAATTTCGAGTTCTGGTTCATGGGTTTCCTAAATCATCAAAAAGCATTCAAATATCTGCAGCAGGCAGCTCTCAAGCTCCATCGGTAGCTATATAAGATGCATGGATGAGCATATACACTATACAATTTTGTAACTATAAACAGTATGTGTGTGCCCCGGCATAGACTAGTTCTGAGCATATGTAAAAATTAGCTAAACATACCGCGAAAATCGAAAGACAGTTCCGGAACGATGGATTCTGTGTTGAATTGTCTCTAATTTTTTTAGCTGCAGGACATTTTATGTATAAAACAGTTTTCTAACTATTTCTCTTACACTTACATGGTATGTTAACCAACAAACCCAATGACAAATCAGGGAAAGTAATAATTAATATGTATAGTCTTGATGTTGGGATTTTTGCCCTAGGAAAAGGGATTGATGATGAAATATAAAAAATACAGAAAGTAAATAACACAAGAATACACAAAATGTTCACCTAATTCAGCCAGAATGCATAATTTGGAGGGCTCAGGAATCAATCCGTGCACTATGTGCAAAATCACTCCTTCCAGAGAGGATTAGAGTGCAAACAAAATTAGAAACGCAAGTTTAGTCAATAATCTAAAAGGTATCATAAACTTACTCAACAGAACAACCTTAACTCGCCCAAAAATCACTTAGTACAGAACTGAAGCCGAGTAGGATAGTGATTATTCTATTAGCTTGTTATAGCAGATGCTTCGCAAGAAAGAAATGAAAGAAAACACTCAAAAATCAGAGAAAATACTCTGAAATCAACTCAATATTTTTAATAATGCAGAATGACCAAAATTAACCCACAAGCCAGGTTAAATAGCTGCAAAATACGAAATTATAGGAAAATTACCAAAAATGGCAAAATCTCGAAATTACACCAGAATAAAATATTAAGTAAAAGAAGTATATTGCCAAAAATTTAGCTTAATTCGAGTTTTCTAACATATGGAAAAAGTGAAACGAAATATTACCTTAAATAACAAAAAATAACTAAAAATTGAATTTCGAAAAGGAAAACAGCGGATTTTGGGCTCGAAATTGACGCCCACCAAGTATAGCTTGGTGGCCACGACGTGCGCGCTGTTGGGGTCATAATAGCGATCCTGATAACCGTAGCCAAAGTTATGGCCAAATTACCAAAGACGTGTCAAATTTTTCCAATCAAGGAAATAATTGCGATTCACTTCCCATTTTTACGCCGATCCACCATTTCATGGTATCTCAACACCATAATCGTACTATCTGACAAATCAGTATCACTCGAGTTGGATCCTCTTCCATCAGTAGCCCTGGGTTGGAAAGAACTCACCATCGAGTTCACAGTAGCTTCATCGGACTCTAGAAAACAAGGGCTTAGGTGTCACTTTGAAGATGTCAGAGGTCTTCAAATGGTTAGGGAGGAGCAACCTCTAAGCATTATCATTGATCTTCTGCAGCACTTCACAAGGTTCAATCTTCCGCTCCTTTAACTTATTATACTCCCCAGCTAGAAAATGATCACGAGTTAATACTGCCCAAACAAAATCACCAACATCAAACAACACCTGGCGCCGATGACTATTTGCCTGAGCCTTGTACTTAGTATTACTATCCTGTATGGACAGCTTCATCTGCTCATGGATACCCCGAAGATGTTCAGCTATCTCATTAGCTTTATTATTGAAGCGATCCACACGTGGAATTGGAGCCAAATCAAGTACCTCGGATGGGTTCCGACCATAGAAAATTTCAAAAGGACTCAATCCGGTGGTCCTATTCCTCGACCGGTTATAAGCAAACTCTACTTGAGGTAATGCCAAATCCCACAGCTTCGATTTAGTCCTTACCAAGCTTCTCAAAAGATTTCCCAAACTCCGATTCACCACCTCGGTCTGACCATCTGTTTGGAGATATTATGGGCTGCTAAAATTCAACTTCATTCCAAGTTTCTCCCATAAACTCCTCCAGAAATGACTTATAAACTTAGTGTCATGGTCAGAAGTAATTGACTGTGGAGCACCATGTAAACGTACAATCTCTCTGAAATAAAGACGAGTAATCCGAGTAGCATCCATTGTCTTCAAGCAAGCCACAAAATGGGCCATCTTTGAAAATCTGTCAACCACAACAAGAATGGAATCCATCGCCCACTGTGTACGAGGTAAGCCCAAGATAAAATCCTTACTAACATCAAACCAAGGAGCATCAGGTACGAGAATGGCTTGTACAATCCAGCATTTGTAAGAGCTCTTTTAGACCGCCTACATACATAACACCGCTCCACATAATGCGCCATATCACTGCTTAACTTGGGCCAGTAATAATCAAAAGAGACCAATGCCAATGTCTTGTCTCGCCCAAAATGTCCTTCGTTATGAAGTTCACTAATAATCTGCTGTCTTAGTGAACAATCCAGAATGCATAACTGCAGTGCACGAAACAAGTAACCATTATGTAAAATAAAATCATATCGATGATTATTAGTTACCTCCTGAATTATCTTCCCAAATGAAGGATCTGCAGCATACATATCAGGAAATGCCTCAAATCCAACAATCTTGGTGCTCATGGTGGTGAGGAGTAATATGCAACGGCTCAATGCATCTGCTACTCGATTCAAACTCTCTGCTTGATGCCGTAGTGTGAAAGTAAACTCCTGCAAGTACGCCACCCACTGTGCATGCCGCCTACTCAGCTTGTGCTAACCATTGATGTACTTCAAGGCCTCATGATCAGTACCAAGGATGAACTCCCTCTGTACCAGGTAATGACGCCAATGCTTCAAAGTCTGAACTATGGCATAGAATTCCATGTCATAAGTGGAATAATTTTTCTTCGATCCAGATATCTTCTCACTGAAAAAGGCTACTGGACATCCCTCCTGACTCTGAACACCACCAATACCAACTCTAGACGCATCACAGTTTATCTCGAACACCTTCTTAAAGTCCGGAAGTGCCAAGACTGGGGCCTCCATCATCTTCTGCTTAACCAACCGAAAGCTAGCCTCTACCTCCTTGGTCCACTGAAAATCACGCCCTTTAAGTCACTCTGTGATAGAAGCAATCAAGGAACTGAAGTTTTTGATGAACCGGCAATAGAAGGATGCCAATCCATGGAAACTCCTGACATCGTCCAAAGTTTTTGGCTTGAACCAATTCAAAATTGCCTCAATTTTGGATTGATCTACATGAACACCATCAGTAGACACAACAAAACCCAAAAAAGCTACAGAAGTTGTGAAGAAAGAACATTTATTCTGATTGATGAATAAGCGCTCCGTCCTCATTACAATGAAGATAGCACGAAGATGATTAAAATGTGATTCTTATGTCGGACTATAAATAAATATGTCGTCAAAATAGACTACCACAAACTTCCCCATGAAAGACGGTAAAACCTAATGCATAAATCTCATAAAAGTCCTGGGTGCGTTGGATAGTCCAAAGGGCATGACCATCCACTCCTATAATCCATGCTGTGTCTTGAACGCGGTCTTCCACTCATCTCCAGGCTCAATTTTGATCTGGAGGTATCCGCTTTTAAGGTCAATTTTTGAGAAGACCTTAGAACTGGACAGTTGATCCAACATGTCGTCCAGACGGGGAAATGGAAACCTATACTTCACTGTAATCCTGTTAATTGCCTTGCTGTCAACATACATATGCCACGACCTATCTTTCTTCGGCACTAGTAGAGCAGAAACTATACAAGGACTCATAAATAATTTTACCACTTGTCGCTGTAACTCTTCAGCTTCCTTGAGACTGAGGCGATATGCTGGTCGGTTTGGTAGACTCGTGGAATAAGGTCGATCTGATGTTGAATGTCCCTCATAGGTCATAATCATGGAGGAAGATCCTCCAGCATCAAGTCAGAAAACTCCATCGGTAGTTGCTGCACTTCTGCTGGTAATTCTGAATCCACATTCGCTGCACTATTTTCATGAGGCATTAAAGCATAAACAATTTTTCACGCCCAACCTCAACCAAGAACCTGGAAGTAGAAAGTAGATTGGTGTTATTAACTACCGAGGCAGGGATTTTTTTTCCTTGCGAGGCGCCAAAATAATTTTCTTCCCTTTTATGCTAAGAGAATAAGTATTCTTCCACCCATTATGGATAACGCTGCGATCATACTGCCAAGGTCATCCCAACAAAATATGACACGCATCCATTGATACCACATCACACCAAGCATTATCAAAATATTTTTTTCCGATCGAAAAAGACACTAAGCACCATTTTTCTACCGTTACCTCACTGCCCTTATTCAGCCAAGACAATTTGTATGGTTTGGGATGACGATCCATCTTCAGTTGCAGTTTCTCGATAGCCTCCTCAGACATTACATTATCACAACTGCCACTATCAATTATTAGCTTGCAGACTTTATCAGCAACTGTGCAGGTTGTGTGCAAAACGTTGATCCTCAACTAATTGTCTCCTAAATTGCCCTTGGGAGTCAGTAGGTTCTTTCGAACGACCAGGGTCTCCTGGCCATCTCCATATAGTACGTCCTCATCTTCACCATCATCATACACAGGTTCCCCAACTTCCTCGAACTCCTCTATCATATCCTCCTCAATCAGAAAATTTTTATTCTTCTGACCAGCAGGCTTTCTGCAATCAGTCGCCCTATGCCCCTGTTCACCATACCTGAAACACTTAATACTTGAGCTGGAATTATCCCACTGTGGCTGCTGGTAAGCAGGACGAGATTCTTGAGGGCGAACTGGCTGACTACCTTTACCTCTGACCACTGGCGTCCTACTCTGCTGTTTCTCTGTTGCAAGTGCCCACCGATATGCCTTAGAAACCATTCACAATGAATGAAAGCTGAGAACATCCTGTAGGGGCTGCCTTAATCCCCCAAATACCGTGCGACCATCTGCTCCTCCGTTTCAGATAAATCATTTCGAGCCACTAGCTGATAGAATTCCTCAGTATAATCATTGACTGATCTTGCACCTTACCTCAATGAATGGAGCCTCTGAAACAAGGTTTGAGTATAGCCAAAAGGGAAGAAGTGCCCTTTCATCTTCTTCTTCATCTTATCTCAGTCAGTAATTTTGGATTTCCCCTGTCGCTCCCGTGAACACTTCAAGTATTCCCACTATGCAGATGCTCTACTTTTGAGTTTGATGGCGACCAGTTTCACTTTGAAACGATCTGGAACCTCCTTATATTCAAAAATTCGCTCCACTTCATTCAACAAATCAATAAATCCTTCAGCCCGCAACGTACCAGAAGACTTGAGCAGATCCACTCTGAAATCGAGATCCACATGACGATCCTCCCATCCACGATGCTCCCAAACTCGAGCACAATGGTGATATGAGTTTTCGAAACTGGTATCGGAATCGTGACCCTCTACATCATGATTACCGAACTTTTGCTCCGCCAAATGTTGGGTTAACTCAACAACTTGTCTCTGCAAATCTTCAATCGTCACATCCTGAATATTACGATCACGGTGCGGGACTTCCTCAATCAGAACCTGCCCTCGACGACCACCACCACATCCACCAACCATTATAACTAATGGAATTTATCTCCCAAGAAGATGCTGACGCTCTGATACCAACTGACGCTAGGTAAGATAGTGATTATCCTATTGGTTTATTGTAGCAGATGATTCGCAAGAAAGAAAAGAAAGAAAACGCCCAAAAATAAGAGAAAATACTCTGAAATCAACTCAATATTATTAATAATGCAAAATGACCAAAATTAACCCACAAGCCGGATTAAATAGCTGGAAAATATGAAATTATGGGAAAATTACCAAAAATGGCAAATTCTGAAATTATACAAGAATAAAATATTAAGTAAAAGAAGTAGGTTACCAAAAATTTGGCTCAATTCGAGTTTTCTAACATATGGAAAAAGGGAAGCGAAATATGACCATAAATAGTAAAAAATAACTAAAAATTGAATTTCGAAAAGGAAAACAGCGGATTTTGGACTCGAAATTGACGCCATAGCTTGGTGGCCAAGACGTGCGTGCCAAAGAGAGCTTTCCGAATTGAGGTCATAATAGCGATTCTGATAACCGCAGCCAAAGTTATGGTCAAATTACCAAAAACGTGTCAAATTCTTCCAATCAAGGAAATAATTGCGATTCACTTCCCATATTTGCGTCGATCCGCCATCTCATGGTATTTCAGTGCCATTATCGTGCTATCTGACAAATCAATATCACTCGACTCAGATCCTCTTGCTTCAGTAAAACCAAACACAACGACCAAGTTTCGTCCGTTTCAGTTTCATTTATTCAACGAAATGAAGCTCACTAACTTAATCATTTGTTTTCATTGGTTTTTGGAACTCATAATGGAACGTAAGGTTAATCTTCAAAATAAAGAGAAAAAAAGTAAAATTTAATTAAACCCCAATTTCGAAAACTTAAGAAACACGCTTTTATAATAAACCCATAACTTAAGATCTAAGTGGCTACAATTTTCTTAAACAAGCATCTCATGAAATAACTTATCGTGTCCTTCAAAATTACAGAAATGGAGTAGATTATACAGGGGTAAAATCAAAGTTGGTAAGTGTAATCAACATAGTTAAAATGAAGCCTCAAAGCCATGATCAACCTAGGACTTCAAAAATGAACTAACTAGCAAAAATTATATCTAATGACCAAAAAAAATAAAAAAAGTTAAAAGAGTTAAGAGTTGGAAAATTGAGTTGCCCACCAACGGACGTTTGTTTAAAGTCATTAGCTCCACTTTAGCAATTTGAATCATGGACATCAAAAGAAATCTTTTGATGGATTGTTTTTTACTTTGCTTCACTTTCCATTTATTCTCCAAAACTCTACCTTGCCCCTTTTAATATAATATAACGTGTCTATTTCATCCAATTCAAATTCAACTATGTAAACTTCTACCTCCTCATCGGGCTTAATCACAAAATCAATTTTTGGGCAATCAATTAAATTAACAATGTTAGACAACTTGTCAAATATCCACGAGTGTAAAATTTTGTAATCAATTTACAAATATGACTCCAAATAATGCTACCATATCAGATGTTCGATTGGGGTGTGTGTGTGTGTGTGTGTGTGTGTGTGTGTGTGTATAGTCACTTTTAATCATCATCTAGGCTCGAAAAAAGTTGTAGAGAAGGAAAATTTTTCAAATTGGTGCTAACCCGTCCCTTAGTGGTCATAACTTTTTTTTTCCCACTTGTGAAATTTGCTGGCCCACAAATGAATTTCATTTCTTTCCCGACATGTTAATATATAAGTCGCTCTCCAATCAGTCATTTCTTTTACCACTCTAATTTGATTGGGTCTAATTGACATTGTTAAAAATCTAAACATGTTATGATTCTCTCCAAAGTTAAGTGTTTTGACATTTAAACTTACACTTAGTAATTTAAATCCACTAGTTATCTAATGAAACAAGAAATTAAAATTTCATACATTTTACACATTTTTTCATCAAAGATGCAAAATGCAGATAATATTATTAGTTCTTCATAACATCGAGAAAAAAAATATTCATGGTTGGCCCTTAAAGATTATTCAAAACCATTCCAAATAATACTCTTAAATATTAGATTAAATATTCAGATTGACCATTCCATGGCACGGGATGATGTGGCAATGATGGGGATATTCTCTCCCCCACTATTCATGTAAAAAATTCCTTTACACCTGTAACAATCATGAATTAAAGAAAGGATTTGAAAAAAGAAAGACGAAAAGAAGGGTTATCCAGATAAGCCTTTAGGCCAACTAAGTGCAAAAGATTTGAGGGTGGCAGCGTCACAAAGCAAACATCCCTCCTTAGAAAGCATGGATTACACATCTGCATACAATTAACTACCCCACCCGGGAGACATAACATGATACCAGATCATTCTGTCAAAACCCCACATTTTTTTATGACACAAAAATGACTCGTGTAGCTAAAAGTTAAGATCCAACTACTACTTTTCGTCTATATAGAGGGTGAAGAAGCATTTTGGATCCCAGAAAAGGTACTTGTATCTGACAGATCTTAGGTGTTTTTGAACGTTCTGAAGCATTCATTTCATTGCTTACAACCAAAGAAAGGAGGTAGAGATGAAACTACAACTTGGAAAATCGACAATTACGAAGAAATTGCACCCAAAATATGCTGTTGGAATTCCGGTTAGTTCAGGAGTAACAAGACTTTTACCAGATCCGGCTGGCCAATACAGTGTTACGCCTTCTCCTTCCAATGAATACTTCAAAATTAGAAAGAGTATGTATATTTTCTTGTCTTTATATCTCACCAAGAACTCCCAGTTCCGTTAATCGCAAACTTAATGGATTTTCTTGGAAATGCAGGCAGAGCAAGTTCAGTAATCCCTGGGATGAACAAATTTGGAGAATGGATGTACAATTTTGCTCAAGGATTCCGAGAGCATGGTAAAGCCTTAACCTAGTTTATTTTTATAGAAGTTAAAATCAGACCATTGGAGCATGTGCGCTGTGCTCGACTAGACATAACCGGCCAAAATTAAAGACGAGATTAGTTAGTCACCATATCTTATGTGGTTGAATCTAGCTTACCGAACATGCTATCAACGTTACAAATTCTCAAGCATACTCCTATTTCACGCCTAACGTTCGGCTTTATTATTATCTCTGCAGTGAAATTGGGACCCAGGTTCACTGTAACTTTGAAAGGGAAGTTAAGGCTTGGAGCAAGAATCCTTCAGGTAGGCGGAGTGGAAAAAGTTTTCAAGCTAAACTTCAATGTTAGCAACGGCGAAAAGCTTTTAACGGCCTCTCAATGCTATTTATCGACCACAGCTGGACCGATGGCAGGCCTCCTGTTTATTTCCACTGATAAAATTGCCTTCTGTAGTGAAAGATCAATCAAACTCTCTTCTCCAACTGCAAAACCGCTTAAAATACATTACAAGGTATACACTTATCTGCTACTAACTCTCATGTTCCGAATCTTGATTATAACTGACGTTCTCCTAGAAAATGAAAGCTAACTGGTTTCAAAACCTTTCAGGTTATAGTCCCCCTGGAGAAAATAAAGAGAGCCAATGAAAGTGAAAATGCCAAAAAACCAAGGCAAAAGTATGTGCAGATAGTCACCGAGGACAAGTTCGAGTTCTGGTTCATGGGATTTCTAAATCATCAAAAAGCATTCAAGTATCTGAAGCAGGCAACCGTTCAAAGTCCATCAGTAACAACTATTGATGCACGGATGATCTCTCCATAGAACCTAAACATACAGTCACAGCATATCTGTAAATTTTTGTAACTATTGTAATGTTGATTGTAAATACATTGTGCAATTTTGAAAGTAAAATGTTATTCAAAGATGCGGGGGACACCATGTGAGTTGGGGGATACCATTATGTACAATTTTTTATGTACAACAAGAATTATCCAAATCAAATTTGGTAAGTGTAATCACCATAGTCAAAATGAAGCCTCAAAACCATGATCGACCTAGGACTTCAAAAATGAACTAGCTAGCAAAAATTCTATCTAATGACCAAAAATAAAAAAGTTAAAAGAGTTAAGAGTTGGAAAATTGAGTTGCCCACCAACGGACGTTTGTTTAAAGTCATTAGCACCACTTTAGCAATTTGAATCATGGACATCAAAAAAATCTTTAGATGGATTGTTTTTTTACTTTGCTTCACTTTCCATTTATTCTCCAAAACTTTACCTTACCCTTTTTTATATAATATAATTTGTCTACTTCATTCAATTTAAATTCAACTATGTAAACTTCTACCTCCTCATCGGGCTTAATCACAAAATCAATTTTTGGACAATCAATTAAATTAAAAATGTTAGACAACTTGTCAAATATCCACGAGTGTAAAATTTTGTAATTAATTTACAAATATGACTCCAAATAATGCTACCATATCTGATGTTCTACTGGTGTGTATGTGTGTGTGTGTATAGTCAATTTTAATCATCATCTAGGCTCGATAAAAGTTGTAGAGAAGGAAAAGTTTTCAAATTGGTGCTAACCCGTCCCTTAGTGGTAATAACTTTTTTTTTTTTTTTGCCACTTGTGAAATTCGCTTGCCCGCAAATGAATTTCATTTCTTTCCCGACACGTTAATATATAAGTTGCTCTCCAATCACACATTTCTTTTACCACTCTAATTTGATTGGGTCTAATTGACATTGTTAAAAATCTAAACATGTGACGATTCTCTCCAAAGTTAAGTGTTTTGACATTTAAACTTACACTAAGGGTGTGATTGCCAATATATTCTATGGAAAATGTGTTTTCTTCATCCAAATTCCTACTTTTGTGCTGTTTGATTGCCATTTTTTTCATGAAAAATATTTTCCCACTTTTAGTCATGTGACTGTTCACGTAATTATTTCTTTCGATTTAAAACCCACCGCAAGTTTACGGTTTGTTAACAAGTAGTAGAGTGGATTATGAGTTCAAGTATTGATCCCACATGATTGAATTAGTTCAAATCAACCTATTATGACCTTAACCGAAACACGAAAGTAAGATGTATGTGCTGTGATTTAACTAAGGAAGATGTGAACTATGATGCAATTATGAGTGAGAAACTTATACTAAATGCAAAATGAACTGGATGCAATCTACAAGAATTTATGGAATTAATGAATTACTAACGCACTAGGATCACGAATTCCCAAGCAACACCCGTTCAACTTTTAATTATGCAAATTTGACACACATTCCCACAATTGATGAATCAATATTCCTATTTTAATTTAGCAATCTCTCTCGAGCAATGCCAAACCTACCCCAATCTATGATTCGACTATATCTCTATGACAAATATTAACATACAGGAACGCATGTAATTTCATGAATATTCAACAATTCACACGAGACATAGAGGTATATTTCTGTCCTCTATCAGACCCTATGATGATTTATACCATGTCGAGCATATTTTCCTTCTTTCGAATGCATAAAACAGGCCACCAAAATCATATAATTACGTGCACAATAATAATATGGGAATAATAACGTATAAATCATTCAATTTCGGAATATGTGCTTAAATATGTCAAATCTCCAAATCAAAAATCAAAACTCGTATTGCAAGGTTCACCGATCTCCTAATACATGAAAAATCTAGCCAAATATGTTGAAAAGAAGAAAATACAAAAATAGTTGAAGAAACGTCATCACCTGAATCAAGTTTCAATCAATTCTTCAATTGGCGCGATGTTTTCCTCTTGTTCTTTCTTCGTTTTCTCCTTCAAAATCTCTCTTTTTCTTCTAAAATTGTTGTCATTGTCGTTCTGGTCAAGTTTTTGTTTATATAGGACCTAAAAATTTTGTTTCCATACGAGTTTCAACAAAATAAGGAAATAGCAAAATCGACCCCCGAACTGTTCTATGCGACCGCATAGTACATTTCTATGCAGTCGCATAGAGTAAAAAATTTTGAGAAAATATTCTCGGGTTGCCTCTATGATGTACTATGCGGTCACATAGAGTAAAAAAGTTGAGAAAATATTCTCGTGTTGCCTCTATGCAACCGCATAGAGATGAGATCGCATAGTGCTACCAACTATGCCAAATTTCTATTTTGGTCCTTGAATTTTCATTTTTCTTCATTTTAGTCCCTTTGCAATTCTTTCTTCTTACAATCATCTTGTATCGCTTTCGAGTTCATACTTAGCATATTTGCATTCCCGGGTTGCCTTTTAGTTCAACTTTGAATATTTGCATCCTTAGTCCCTGAACTATCACTTTGCTTCATTTTAGTCATTTTTCGGCTCTTTTCTCCTGAATTTCACCATTTTTATAGAAACACCTACATTGCATGAATTCAACGAGATTGAGTCACAATTTAAACATTTTGCTCGTAATTAAGTCATGTTTGTGATCTAAATAAGTGTGCAAAAACACACTTATCAAACCCCCCAAACTTGAATTATTGTGTCTTCAATTACGATAGTGACATAATTCTGAACAAACATGGCTTAATACCCTACCGTGGTTCAGGATTGGACTAAGTATTTAACTTTATTAAAATTTATTAGTGCAAAAATGACATCAACTTTTATCTGTTAAATGCATACTTGATGTGTGTGTGTGAATTCATGTCAACATATCAAATTCATGATGGGTTGAGTCCCGACCCCAAGTGGTCAAATGTATCCTTACTCGCTCGAGAGATACACAACCCCCCAAACTTATTCTTTTCACTCAATTATCCCAGGGTTGTGTTTCAAAATTAGGAGTTTACATAACTGTAGTCATCACCCTCTCGTAGTTTGGATTAATCTTACTATCACAAGTTTACATTTCAACAAGTGAAGGCTCTCCCAAGTTTGATTGCTTCCACACTCAAGATTAAAATAAGTTACTCGCCTCGCCTCAAAGGTATAGTTTCTTCAACTAAATGTCTAAGGGCTTTTCTTCATGTTTTTGTCTCTCTTTTGTTTTTCTCACTTTCAATTTTATATATATATATATATATATCATCTTCTCATTTGCTTTCTTTATAACCCATGTAATGAGTTTTAGGTCGGTGACTCCCAAATCAGTTGGCTTTAGGGCACCAGGTTTTTAAACCCTTACAGGTTTATTCACTCGAGTTATAAAGGCTTGATCAGATGACTTTTTATTAATCTCCCTCCCTCTTGCTTTCTATATGACCCCTTTAGCGAGCTTTAGGCCGGTGACTTCCAGACCAGTTGATCTTAGGGTTCCAGATTTTAAAATATCCTTACAGGCTTACTTGCTCGAGTCATAAAGGCATGAAAAGAAGTGTCTTATTTTTACAATTTAATTTTATGCCCTTATTGTTCTAGACATTTAGTTTCCAAAACCAACCCTCAATTTAAGATTTTCACCTAATCTTCTCTTCACTGGTCTAAGCAATCCACACAATAAAATTTCATGCACGGAGCCCCCGTTTATCTCAATGCTCCCTATAATAGCTCAACCAATTCCAAATTGTCTTAAGGTGATTTACGTATTAATTCAATAGAGGGTTATCATTCTTTTCCAACTTTATGCTCAAAATTCAGTCATTCACCGAACATGTCAAGCATGAACAACGTACATAGATAATGTCAAGTATTGCATCACAAGTATTGGTTAATCTATTCAGCACTCTATTGAAAGTTTATGAATTATATCAATCCAATAATCACATCATAGCCGGCAAGGCTATCAAGCCCACACAAGCATGCCAAAGTATAATCAACACTCACTCATCAAGCATGCGTCATGCAACAATTAGTCAATAATAAGGATGAACTGTGAAAATGCAAAATAATTACATGCTGACTATTTGTTTTAAATTATGCCACCATCCCCCAAACTTATATAGTACATTGTCCTCAATGTAAGAATTAAAGTTGAAATGACATAATTTAAAAAGAAAAACAAGAACATAAAATAGCAAAATGAGATAAACAAGACTCCTCTGATCAATACGGTGGCTGTGATGGAAGGCTGGGTCCTGCAGCATCATCTCCAGGAGGGGAAGGAAGGCAGGATAAAATCTCTCTCAATATGTCAGACTGTTGGGTTTGCTCCACCTGCATGGCCTGAACCCTGATCTCCAAGCTCCCTAAACGGTCCCATGTCTCATTCACTCGCCATTGTATACCATCTATTCTGCCTACGTACATTCCCAATCGCCCATCAAAGGTACTCATATCTCTTGTCGCTACAAGGGACTCACTGCTGGCATTGAATGCGAAGTTTCTTGTGATTGCCGTATCATTCTGCACCTATTGGATGGTGATACTCATTGCTCCAAATGATTGCTGAAGACTCTACATGTCTCGACTGTGTCTTGTCATAGTGGCAAACATCTACCTCAATAACTAGGTATCAATGTCAATCGGTGGTGGACGAACTTGTGGCATCTCGAAGTTCTTAGCTGCTTGTCCTTCCTCAGCCTATTGCTGTCGACGTCGCTCGTTTTCTAACTTTCGTTGATGTTTAACTCTGGCTCGGTCCTGGGCCTCTAGTGTGAGGCGCTTGATATAGGGACTTGGTTTTTCTAGTGCTTTCCCAGGCTGGACTTGTATGCCTGCAACTCTACATATCTCACTTATCAAACTTGGGAAAATCAGCGAGGTGTGCCAATCTCCCCATGTGCCTATAATTTGTATCTGGTTGTAGATGTATGTGGTCAAGTCAATCTTGTTTCCCCGAACCAAATGATAGATAAACCTCGCCTTTTGATTTGTGAATGTCGTCCTATGGGAAATGGGCTCGATGTTGTGGCATATGAATAACCATAGGATAACTATAGATGGGGTGAGATCAATCTGATACCAGTCTGCGGTCGGTAGAGGCCAAGCATTCTAGCGTCCCAATAATACTTCTGCAACCTCAATCCAATTGAAATTA